GTGCCACAACGGCGGCACGTGCCACAACCTCGTGGGGGGCTTTTCGTGCAGCTGCCCCGACGGCTTCACCGGCCGGGCCTGCGAGCGCGACGTCAACGAGTGCCTGCCCAGCCCTTGCAGGAACGGGGCCGTCTGCCAGAACTTCCCGGGGAGCTTCAGCTGCGTTTGCAAAACCGGATACACAGGTATGGGAACGATCGGCTGCCTTTCACGGCGACCTCAGCCCTGTCGGCTGCAAGGCGAAGTAATGAATTCTGTCCTTTTTAAATGGTTTCGCTTCAAAAGGTGGGCAGAATCATAGCCAGCGCTTTTAAGCACTTAACTGTTGGCCAGACACAGTTCCGAGTGTTTTATCTGCATTTATTTTATTTCTCACGAGAAACCTATGAGGTAGGGGTCACTCTTTTCCAGTTTTTGCAGATAAGGAAGCTAAAGTAGAGAGAAGTTAAGTCAGTTTTCTAAGGCGGCCCAGGAAATTTGCTGCAGAGTCAGGATGTAAGTCCGTGTGGTGAATCCGAGAGTTTAAGCTTTGGGGACGTCACCTAACCTCGCCGACCTTCCATTTCTCCACCCGCGAAATGGGAATAATCGTACTTATCTCTCAGGACCGTTGTAATGAGTAAAAATAATGTTTGTAAAACGCCGAGGGCAGATTGTAGCACCCCTACGGAGCAGTGATGATGAGTACTGTCATTGACAGTGGTGGTCATAGGGGTGTGCCACGAAGTCACTAAGAAGACAGGAAGGCTGGATGGCACGGGCAAGGGTGACTCTCACCGGAGTTCTCGTCTTAGGGTCATTGGGCTATATACGTGCTGTGCTGTGAGTTCAGGATTTCTAAAAATAATCATCCTTATCACCTTCCCCGCGATGGCACGGGCAAGGGTGACTCTCACCAGAGTTCTCGTCTTAGGGTCATGAGTAATAGGGCTATATACGTGCTGTGCTGTGAGTTCACGATTTCTAAAAATAATCATCCTTATCACCTTCCCCGCCCACCAAAAAAAAAGTTGCTTCTTCTGCTGGGAAATCAACAATGAAGATTGTTTCTTTGTCCCGTTCAAGTATAATAGAGCCATTCAATCTTAGATTTAGAGTGAGTTTATGCTGAGTCCTGGAATGAAAAAAAGTATGAATGCGTTTAGTGGTAGATGGTGGCAGGGAAGTCCCAGGGGTGTGAGCCAAGGGCCCCTATGCAGACTCCAGCATGACAGGGCTCACTTCAGACATAGAACTATCCCGTTCACGCTGCTTCTCTCCAGTTTATTTAAATGTACATTGCATGATCTTCTAAATGCAGTGGTTGAAATTTTAGGAATGCCCTTCTTTGCATTATGAAATATGAATACCATTCGTCAGCTGGCTATTTAAGCACTGCTTAAAGCAGGCATTATTATTCGTTTATTCATTTAGTTCTCACAACGCTGTGAAATGTAACAACATTTCACATTCCCATTTTAAAGGCAAACAAGTGGGTCTTAGAGGGATGAAGAGACCGTTAAATAACTTGTCTCCGGCATGGCAGAGAAAAGGTCTAACTGGGTTTTGGCTATGAGCTTGACCCCAGAGCCTCTGCTTTATATGCCTGCCACACTTCCTCACACTGTGACTTGTACCTGCCATAGGGCGTGATGGTCAGTCCTCGTTATCTTCTAAGAAATCGTTGTCCATTATTCCACTCGATCCTCACAAAAAGCCGGTGAGATAGCGTATTGGTCTGAGACTGGTCAGGAACTGAAATTACTTTAGGACTTTTAGGTAGGAAGGCATGTAATACAAGGAAATAGCTTACAAAATCTTCAAACTGGCTAAGATCGAAGGTCAGGAAAATTTGCCTCTCGCTCGCTGGCGGAATCTACCCGAGTCCTGCTGCAAGGGAGTCTGGGAAAGGTCGTTTTCCGACCTCCAGTGCCAGCAATTCAGAAAGACAGAAAGAGTACTGAGCATCAACGGATAACGTCTTGCTTAGAAAGATGCGATCGTTACTCCTATTTTACGTTGTAGAAAACTGAGCCTCCACTGGCGACTCTAGGGACAAGCTGCCAAAGGCTGGATCATAAACTCTTTCTGTCTGGAAAGTTAGTTGAAATTACGTATTAATTTTACATACTGCTCCTCCTCAGAGCTCACTTTAGTCTCCATCTGCATAGTTGGAGATAATCCAAACGATCAGGGAGGATGTAAATAAACATGAAATTGATTAACATGAATCTTAACGTTTTTTGAATTCGTACAATTCGTTGTTTCAAACTTGTGCATTGTTCATGCAGTAAAACTAGCAGATGATTAAAGTCTGACAGTTTTATTTCTTTGTCTTGCAGGAAACAGTATAACAAATAAACAAATAAATAAAACATGGTGACAGATTGTTAATCCACACACTAAATTAGTAAATTAGAGATATGTTGTTTAAGTGTCTGTATCTGTGAGTTACTCTTTCCAGCTAGTCTTTACCAGGTACCCTGACTTGGGAAGATGGAGCTAGTGCATGAAAAGATCTTAGAGAGCTAATCAGAGCTAAGAAGCCACTAGACAAAATTCATGCTTAAGTATATGTGTGCCTCGTCGGGCGAAATTTTAAAAATACTCGCTCGAGCTAGATTCACTTCCTTTAACATTAAGCAGGTGCTAATGCCTTAGTGAAGCCTCTTCAAAGCCTGTGTGTGTTCAGATATTTTTTGAATCATCAGAATTATTTCAAAGCCACCTACATTTTCATACTCTATTTACTTTTGTGGACTTTCACCTGCAATTTTTTTTTCAATATTTAAAAAATCTGTAGCATTACGAATTGGAGCTGTGAGATTTCCTTAACTTTATGCTTAAAATAATTCTCGGTCACTATCCCTCATCTCTCTCTCTCTCTCCCTTCCTTCTTCCCTCTCTCTCTCTGTCTCCCCCGCCCCCCCCACACACACACTCACAAACACCACTGACTTTCATGTGAAGTTAGAAATTGTGCTAAAGATGATGAATGAGTGGCTTATGAATTGATGCAAACCAAGAGACTTTCCCCTAAGGACCTCACAGAGAGTGACTGTTGGCTGAACAGGGATGTGTAGAGAACATCCAATAAGGAGGCAAGTATGGAAATTATGGAACCACAATGAAAATATATAAAGGGATATAGTTATTATATTGCCACCAGTTTATTCCATTCATTCACTCATTCATTCATTCATTCATTCCATACATACATACGTATGTCACGTAACCTGACTCAGGAAGATTTTATATATTTATATAGTTTATTTGCAAATTCGCGACAATAGGGTCACATAATAGATAGGAAATAGGGTATTTTTGAATGACAGTGATTTAGAGAGAATGAATTTGTATAACTTGTATTTCTGATCTCTTTTTCTTCATTATTAGAAAAAGAATCAAAAGGAAATTGAAAAAAATAGTAGGGACTTCATACTCTGTTATAGTCACTTCATGTTTCATTATTAAAAATATTTTCCTGTAGTTTAATTATAGGACATTTGAGAAGTTAATTTCTAGCTTTTCACAAAGTTTAATAATACCGGAAATTACATCAGTTGTCGGTATTCCTCAGTAAATCAAAAGAAAGTATCTTCCATATTGTTCATGCCTTAAATTCAGGGGATCTGGGAGGAAAACAGCAACTTAGTAACTACGAACCTAGTATTTCTTTTCCTATGCAAATGAAAATTTGTCGCACCTAACAGAACACTAATCAGAACCCACGTGGCGTCTCCTGCTCTCTCTCGGGTATTGGTTTGTAGCATGCCGGGCATCTGTCCTTCCTAGGAGGGCCTGATAGTATAAACCAGCAGGTGGATGGAGCTTACTCCTGAATCTGAGTCTGGGAACAGGATCCGCCCACGGCCCCTTCAGCCTTTCCCACCCACTCGCACACGTATGCACGCATCGTAGGTGTGGCTTTCAGTGCACCCCCAGGGGTTGGTGTCCATGTGGCGAAGCTTCCCTGTGCTCTCAAGTGAAGTCCTGGAGTTTCAAGGGGGTGAGGTTTGTCATCCGTCACTCTTACATCACTTGACAGTATGAATAGGGCTTTTTCCCCAAAATAGAAAGTTACGTACAGATTGTGCAGAGTAACTTACTGAGAAACTTGGCAAATGTTTGCACTCATGAAGATGAGAGTAGTAGCTGAGTTATTCTTTTAAAATCACAGGTCATATAACAATGTCGTCAATGACCATGTTACCAAGAAACCATCGCATATAAACAAAATTTAGTGAATAGCTACGAAATGACATTTTCAGTGGCATACAGGAGTGAGTGGCTCATCTGAGAAAGGATAAAAGGCTTCATTCTCATTTCGATTTTATTTCCAAGAGTGGAATTAGACAGTTTACCTTAAGTGATACGTTGACCTATTAAAGCATTAAAAACAGGATTCAGGTAGCTTAAATGCTTCTTACTTCTGCAGAAAATAAGCATGTATTGGTAAGCTTTTCATGGATATTATGTATGTCATATATAATCATCTATAATCTCATTGAGACTGTATTTGTACATCTTTCAAAATTCAAAGGTAAAATTGTTTTTTCCTTTAGCTTTTCTGACCAGCAGCCTGTATTTCAACATGACTTTTTTGCTTTATTTTTATATGAAAAAACATAATGCTATTTGATGAGGACATTTCGATGAGCAATCTTCATAGTGCTTTTTACATAAGAGGAATCATTTTACATAGTGTGCAAAAAAACAGCTACTTTTTGCTAACATAATAAAAATGCTTATAAGCATAATTATTCAGAATAAATAGCATATATGTATTATGAAATTATATCGATTTAATATCGATTTAGATAGAAAACAGGCTTAGGTAGTTGCACACAGTCTCCCTTCTTTATGCATAAGAAATGCAAAAGTAATACTCGTGGTGACCTAACATATATATGATCTAAGACATTAAATTGATGCCTATATAGACTATAGAACATCAGAAATCATCATATCCTCATAGAGTGAGAATAAACTTACCTCAGCTCTACATAATCCAACATTAAAATATGCCATCAGAATGAGTCAAACTCCAATATACATCCTGTTGCAAAGACCACACGTGATCACCATGGATTCGTTTTATTTTCAACACTTCAGCACATGAAGATATATGCTCAGTTTCTTCAGTCAGCTGCGCTAACTCTGGAAATTCTCTGGCCACCCTGGCCTCCCGTTATGCTTTCATTTCCGTCGCCAGCAATTCCCATTCTTACCCTTCCCGAAGCACCGCTCCTCCTGCCTATGATACACATTAACACAATCGATTGATGAAGTCAGGGCAGTGAGATCGGTTTATCCTTCTAAACGGCTGCCATGACGGTTAACATCTCTTAACAGAAAAAGGCTGAGTTCCGGAGACGCTTTTCTGTGCGCAAGTCCTATCAGTTTCCCCCAAGCTTCAAGGCGCTGACAGGTAGTGTTGACTGACTTGCAGCATTGTGTTAGCGATCCAACACTTTGTTTCAAGGTGCTCCGACATCAGATTGTTTTCACCAGAAGCACATCGGAGCACATTCTCTGATAACCATTGTGCCCTTAACGCTAGAACTGGAGTGGACAGGCACACACAGAACCGTACAGAACCTGTTGCTGACTTGTGGTCGGGTGGCAGAGCGTGCATTCCACACCTGGGAGCCACGCATCGGAAGGCTTTCTTTGGATTCATCAGTAGAATTATGACATCTTCCTCTCACATAAAAGAAAAAAAAAGCTCTTTTCATAATTTAAATTGTAATATTGACTTTTCAAACCGTATCTTTGAATCTCAATTTCTAGTATGGCAACCTCTTTGAAATTCGCTAATAGTAAAAAATTTACTCATTAATTGGAGTACTTACAGAATCATTGAATGGTAAATAATTTACATATTCTAACACCAACAAACCAGGCTACTTTTTCCCTAAATTCAACAATAAATTCATTTATTTGACTCCTACCTAAGTCTCATTTCTTACATTTTTGATAATTATCTGCTGAGGAAAAAGAAGAAAGTCAACTTTTCAATTAAAATGTTAACTGAAAAGCTGAATTTTTTCTTTTCCCAATGTCTATTTATATTGTGTTCTGAAAGAACCAGAATCTATTGAGAATTTATTTTACCTTTTAAAAGAAATTCATTCGCAAATTAATATTTTCATAGTTTGTAGCTTCTTCTGACATTTCCGTAGTCACTGAATGTTTAAATGTATGAATAAGTCTTCTTTCTTTTAGGGTTTCTTTCTACCCACCACTTTGGATGAACTGAGATAGCCTTTAGTTTACATGTAAATTTAACCCAGATACCGGTTCAAAATCTCATTTTGTAAGGGGTAAATGAGACAATGAATTGATATGAATCCACCTTCACAAACCTTACATTTCTTTTATTGTTTAAATCAGCATTTAAAACGTTGGTCTCCCCAAACAGGATTCCAGAAAGGATGTAGCTGAGGTTCATGGGGTCAGTGACTTGAGTTTTTTATACTCTTATACATTGAGTAAAGCACATGTGACAGTGCCCCCTCAACTGGTTAACCTTTGCTCCCCCATTTCCAGTCTTCACAAAGCGAAGTCTATAATTTTGTAACCCACTCACGTGTTTTCGCAATTTAAAAGTTTCACTGACAATATCTATAAAGTATAATAATCTATGAATTTAATACATGCTACTTTCAACACAACTCTAAAAGAAATTTTCAAAAACAGAAAATGAAACCTTACTTGGTCCAGTAGTATGTGGGGCTATTATGATTGCTCTTGCAGTGGAAAAAAAATTGTAGATGTAAGTCGTGACTTTTCCTCATGGCAAATAAATAATCAGAAGTATAGCCAGTAGGTCTTATTTATTCTCTATTGGGCAACACTGATATTCTATTAAGAAAAAAACAAAAACAAAAACCCTTCTTTAGAAAAATCTGTCACAAATCCAGCTGGAAGGCATCCTATGAGAGGGTTCTCCTATGACACAGCACCTCTCGGGGCTGATTTTGCACAGGGTTTCTGTAAAGTCCTGCCTGTTTGTCAAACGTAACGCATGGGTACAATCCTTGAAACGTAATTTCCGTGCCTTTAGACTGGTAACTTGTTTATTTCATTGTTTCCCCTTAGGATAGAAAAGTAATCTGAAATCGTTAGCTTTTCCCTTGTACGAAGGTTCCCAGTTTTATTTATAAAGGAAAAAATGTTGTGTTTATAACCCAGTGATGTAGAGAAGCATGTTTGTTAGCGGTGTCATGAGGGCTGACTCACACTCATGATTTCAAACCAGAACAATCGTGGCTACATAATCAAGCCACAAAAACAGAACTAAATTAAACAAAAATTTTGACTATGTTCTAAGCATAGTTATGATGCTATGGTTTATCTACGCTTAACATGAAGTCTAGTCGTGCACATGAAATGTACATGTTTTCATAAGACATTTTATAAAAGTATTAGTGCAATCATGCCAGGAAGTAGAAAATAGCTTTACAAAACCAGACTCTTAATTATTAATGAAATAAATAATTAAGTCCTCCTGTCAATGGATGGACAATAAGAACTTGCTGACTTCACAGTGTTTCTCAGAATCAGATTATTCCCATAATTATATATAATACATATCTGATAATAATAATAATTATGTTACTTTATTGAATAGTAATTAACCGGTATTAAAACACATTTAAGTTTATATAAGAAAAAAAAAACACCATTAACAGCAACAAAATTTTGCCTACCAAGTGATTAACTATTAAGTTATAACTTTGTGACACCTGGCTGTGGTCTACATTGGTCTGTGCCATAGTTTTATAATTTCTTAAGCCAGATATTAGCGTCCAACGGCCTCTTCTCCTTCATCCGTGAAATGTGTTTCCTGTTGAGTGCATCATTAAAGTGGAAACGCCGTGTTAAGACACTTGCCTGCTTTCTTGCCTGTCATATCCTGACCTCCTAAAATGCCTGGTTCATAACAGGCATTTGGTCAGTATTAGTCGATTTAACTTAACCAAGATGATGTATGAGAAAAATCTTTATAGACTGAAAACTATGCTGGTTAGATCTTATTATTGCAGATAAAGGACGAAGTGTACATAATCCATAGTTGAGAATAAACCTTGGTCAGTATTTGAAAATGTGTTTGATGTATTTTCTTATGTGTTATTCTGCTTTACAGCCAGTATGTGTGTACACATTAAGGGGTATTTTTTGAGAGTGAAAAGATCGTAGTTTTACAGTTAAGCTACATGACGTTGATTCTTACCTTTAAAAACATCCGAGTCAAGGAAATCTCTACATTGAAAATTCTACTTTAAAAGTTTCAACTCTCCAGTTATGAAATGCAGTAAATGAAGTGACATGGAAAAGAGAAGATAGATTTAGTGAAAACATTTAAATATAGTCACCACTTGTGATTTCCCTGAAAACGGTCGTTCCTTTCAAGATGGATATGTAAATTATTTTCTAAACATTAAAATGACAATATTCTGTTTTCCTCATGTCAAGTAAAATGGTCTCGTATTTCTTTTTTTCGAGATATAATCTCTCAGGATAGGTTTCTATATATGGTTATGCAGCGATGGCGTTAATATATTTATGCATAAGATTTTTAAAATTGAGCTTACTACTTTTCAGGGAAAATGTGTGAGTCTTCAGTCGATTACTGTGAATGCAACCCCTGCTTTAACGGCGGGTCCTGCCAGAGTGGCGTGGAGCCTTACTACTGTCACTGCCCGTTTGGTGAGTACAGCTCAGACGTTCTTGTGAAACATCAAACTGTTTGGCACACAGATTAGCCGTTGTAGCTTCACTGTGCCTCGAGTGATTAAAATGATACTAGATGTTTCACACGTGAGAGTTTAGCAAAACAAAATCTCAAAGATTTAATATTCTTACAAGTTAATTATGGAAATCCCGTTGAACATATAGCTTTGATCATTACTAGAAAAATAATCAACTCAAGATAATTGAATTTGTGTTGTGTCCTCGGGATATTTACCCTCGGATATTCATGGATGCCTTCCTTTTACCCTAGAGCCTGTCAAATAAAAAATCTCAGACACTATTTGACATCATTCTCTCTTTCAAATCTTTAAAAAATAATCAGTCAAAATGATTTTTGTTTTGTTTTGCTTTTGTTTCTTACATTAATTCAGCCACTTATATTAGAAAGATTTAGTAACTGACCACGCGGTTTTCATGATAGGCTTTTGAAGACAGTATCAACATAACTAATCACAATTCAGACTGACGTGTTTTCTTGAGGAAGAAAGTTGTGAGAATTTTTTTGTACACATACGATTTTATTCAACATAGTGGAGCGAACTAAAAGATTCCTCTCAGGTGTCACTCAGGGGTTGCCAGCACTGAGACGGCCAAGTATGATGAAGAAAGCCGGGAGGAATCTTTCACTGTAACTTGGTTTATGTCATAGGTTTGTGATCATTCTATTAATTTAAAGGCTGACTCAGGCTTCACCACAGCACTCACATCCGTGTGTCCTGCAGTAGGTGGAGACCCTGTCCTTCTCCGTAGGCAGAGGAGGAGAAGGGTATCTTTCTGGTCTTTCCTTGGACATATCACTGTGGACCAGAAAAGTGAATCTTAATGTAGAGTAGAGAATAGAACTTAAAAAGAATCTGAGGTTTCTAGTAACCGGTAAAATAAGCTGTTATTTTCAAATAAGTCTGTGACTCTATCTACTTCTGTTTTATAAACCACATCAATAGAATGATAAAGAAAAACAGAATATACAAATATCTCATTGTGAGCCATGCATTTTTGCCATGGTTCCGAGGCCCGGACACTGTGAGTTTGTCTAAAGTCAAAAAACGACAACAAAAGAAAACTGCCCCAGGATGACATGGATTTAGTGACCAGGACACAACTTTATTTTTAGGCCAGTACGACGTTCACAGTGCCCCTCCTTCTTAAAATGTATTTGACATTCTCACCAGTCATGCTCATGACACAGTGAATGAAAGGCAGACCGAGGTCAGAATGGCCACAGCCTTAGATGGCCTCAAACTTCCTTCTGCCATCATTACCTTACAGCCCTAAGGGGCGCTGCTTTCCGCACGTAACCACGGTCAGGTTTCATGGTTTCACTTGTGTTCTGGAATGCAAGATAACGGGGATTGGAATGGAAAGTGGAACATGATTTTCAGGGGACCGAACAAAGGTGGTTCACATTTTTAGATTCCTTTGCATTCCACTCACACACAGGAGGATTTACGATAATCGATACTAAATCGGAACAAATTGTCGCTGCCGTGTCGCTGTTCCAGCAGTCATTGCCTGTTGGGCGGAAGAGTTTTGGGGTCCAAATGGACCTTGTCACCCGACCAGAGCTCTTCAGGGAAAGGAACTAGCACAACAACACGCATTAACATAGAGACGGATCGGGCATCGCCGGCAGTGCAGATTTCTCTCCCTGTTCCTTCCAGTAGCAAAGACAAAAAAGATTATTTAAATTAGACACTGTCAGACACTAACAGAAGCACTTATAAAACAAAACAAAACAAAACAAAAATTTTGAAACAACAATATATGATTTGAGACCAGAGAGAATTAGAAGGAAAAAGTAACTTCCCTTTTTAAATCGAATGTTGGGTGAAACATACAAATAAAATGGCAGATGGGATTCCAAAGAACATATAGCTGGAGGGAGTTACCCACGCGTCCTATAAAACATCTTAACTATAATTGCAAAGGTAGAAAAAAAGTTGCACTGTTTACCTTCTCATCAGTGAAAGATTTGCTTTTAGATTTAGAAATTTTTTTTAGAGTTTTAGATTCTTTTTTTTTAGGTTATAGTTTAGAACGAAAGCAAAGTGCTTATGACTTTAGAAAGAGCCTGCATATAACTTCATATATGCATATACACACAAAATGTCCTTTTGGGTAGAGTAATTTTAATATTTAGAGTAATTTTAATATTTCTTGACTTTTATATAAGTTTATTTCATGGCATTTTATGTGGAAAGCAGATTTTAAATCCTCATTAAATTTTATTATTGTATTTCAAAAAACAAACATCTATCTTTCTCTAAGAACAATAACACAACTCCTTAAAAAGAAAAAAAGTATTTCATAAAGAAGTATTTTCATGTTTTAAAACAGTGTCAACTTGAATAAAAATGTAGAACATCTTTCCAGGGTCTGTATACTTTCCACATAGATGTATATTCAATTTCAGGCAAACTTTCATAGGTTTATGAAAATGTAATCAGAAGACACCTTCTGGGACACATAGCACATACTTCTTCAGTCATCTACCTACGTATTTCATTTGTGTACTTTATTTTTACCTTTGGCTACTCTTTCTGCATATATAAGTAAGGTATATATCATATAATAAATATATGATATAAATAACTTTAACATTTGTGTTGCATATAAATATAAGATAGATAAGTTGAAATACTATATGATAAGATACATTTATAATGTATATAAATGTATGCCATATGTAATGTATGACATATAACATATATGATTCCATTAATTCCTTTGCCTTTTCTTTAACTTCAGTTAATGATTAAACATAAATTATATATATTTCTACATATTTACAGTGAATAGTATCTCAGCCTTGACAGAAAAAGAAAAGATAATACCCACGCTTTTATACCAGCTTCTAGGCCATTTCAACTTAAAGAACATTTGGATATAAAACGTGGCGTAGCCAAACAGCTAGACAATTAGTTGATCTGGCCTCAAATACTGGCTCCATCCCCATAGTTCTGTGGCCTTGGGCAAGTTTTACATATTCTGTAAAATGATGGCATTGGTTCTTCTGGCTGAACAATTTCCTGACTCTAAATGTAACGCATTTACAAGGGATGTGCAGCCAAAATTAAGGAATGAAGCCTCTGCAAGTTAATAAGAGTTATGATGTATTGGCATGGGTTAATTTTCCAATCATTTGCTACAGTCTACTAATATTTGTGGGAAAAGAATTTTGGCGTAGCGCTATAACATCAATAAAACTCATTTTTCAAGTTTGAAAAAGAACCAGCACAAACAAGTGGGAATGCTGGATTTTGGAAAAACAGAACACTACTTCCAAGTAGCCTGGTATAAATCATGCCCAAAGTGGGCATGAACCAAGAAAGAGATAAAAACTAAGACAGTTATTTCCTTCCCTGATTTTGTGACCCTTGAAAATAGCATGAGTACAGGGACTGATTTTTTTTTTTAAGTCAAAACAAAATTTACTATCTTCAATTGAATTAAAATTGTTTTTAAGAATTATGTATTACGAAGGAAGTATCTTGTTTGAAAATTAGAGAAAATTAAAACTTTAAAAAGATTGACAGACTAATTTTGAAAGGTGTCCAGGAAAGAAATCTTTTGACACATATGCCATTCCACTAATTCTAATTTGTGGAAATGGAGTATTCTTAGATATGTTCCCTAATTGGCCCCCAAAAAACAATTGCATCAGTTTATCATTTTTGTTACATATTCTTAAGATCGTCAATTTATTCTATTTCAATTTAATTTAGATGGTATTCTTTGAGAATAATTAAAAGTGTTCTTTTAAGTGTGACTCATTATTGTAACTTAAAAATATCTTTAAGTCATTTAGTAAAACATCACTGGAGTTTGATGTGTCAGTTTGTCGATTTTCCCATCTGCAGGTGTCTTTGGAAAACACTGCGAGTTGAACAGTTATGGATTTGAGGAGTTATCGTACATGGAATTTCCCAGCTTGGATCCCAATAACAACTATATTTATGTCAAATTTGCAACTATTAAAAGCCATGCTTTATTGCTTTACAATTATGACAACCAGACGGGGGACCGGGCTGAATTTCTGGCCCTTGAAATTGCTGAAGAAAGACTAAGATTCTCTTATAATTTAGGCAGCGGTACATATAAACTCACCACCATGAAGAAGGTGTCAGACGGACATTTTCACAGTGGTTTCCTCATGCTAACAGGTGACCTTCACGGGGGACAGGTGGTACCACCTCAGCCCCGTTCTCTGAGCGTGTGTAAGATAACTGGATGGCTAAGATGTCGTCAGCGGACTCTTACGGGGAGTAGGCGATTTTACCTGCTGACATACAAGGTCCCTCTAAAATTCCTGACCATTCAACAAGGCTTGGGAGCAAGAGGGAGAGCAAAGAGAGGTGGCATGAGGCATGCCCGAGGACAGAAAATAATTCGTAGTATGTGGCCCCAGGCATCAGGTTTGAGTCACAGCAAATGGGGAAAACTCCTCGGCATTATTCCGTCAGAGGGAAAGTGTCTCCCAGTTTCAGAAAACATCTAAAATAAGGTCCCGACTGGGTTTTGAATCTGTTCTCTACAGTTCAAAAGGATTTTGTTGGAAACTGGCAAATTCATTAACTTCTCAGCTTTGAATCATTGTAGAGAGGATAGAAACATCTCAGTTTACAGCTGTACCCGTAGAAAAATTCAACAGTAAAAGAAGGTGCATTCAACTCTGAAGATTAAACTGCACGAGCTACTATTTAAGTAAAACTCGCCCTCAGGTATCTGTTCTTTGAGTTGTATCACCAGGGTTTTAGAAAATTAGAAAACTACGTTAAATATTAAGATTGACTAAAATAAGATACTGTGCTCTCAGCTGTTTTTTCTAGTTGAGGCATTCATAAATATTTATGTGACACTCCATGATCGCTTTAGGAATCTCTAGAATGGATGGATACTTCGCATAGTATACACAGAGAGAGATGTGTTAACGTTTACTTTAGAAATAAATTAAAGGGAATTCTGCTTAAATCAAATAGTCAAGCCACGCACGTTGTATCATGAAAACCCAATACTGCTTTTGAGATTGAATGTCGCTCAATTTTATAGATGACTAGAAAAAAATTATTAGCTATTGAAAGAGTCAACTAAATGCGGAGTGTAGATGTTTCCTAAAGATGTCAGTATTTATTATAATTTCCTTGAGAAGGTGGCAAGAAAAAATTTGCATGGCGCATAAGAGTTCTGTGTATGGAGCTTATAATCATTATAAGCTATAATAATTATAACCATTGTAAGTTATAATAATTGATAGAAATATTTTAAAAATATTTTAGCCAGTAATATCTGATGTACAGTGACTACAAATGATCCCCTTCACTATTTCTGAAATGTGAGATATTTAAGATATGCACTTTTATAAATCTCCCATCTAAATATACATATTTTATTGACAATCCCTCAAAATCATGCGCTACTGATAGAAATAGGATATTAAGGAAATGAATAATTTCCGTACATAATGGAAGTGACCTGATTCAGGAAGACAGAAAACCAGATAAATGCCTTTTCATGTGAGTAAGAGGTAATTTTGGTCAACTTGCTATGTTTCTCACGTTTGCTTTGTTTTTATTAAAGTTAACCTGGAATGACATCCTTATAAATTAATACTTTAGTAGCCCAGCTGGCCCTTGAGCAACATGGGTTTGAACTGCGTGGGGGCCACCTGTATGCGGATTTCCTCAGTAAACACCCACGGTGCTTCTGACCCGGGATGGGGGTCCATGTAGACGGGGCATGCCGTTCTATGCCGTTTATACTGGGAGCTCCTGCCGATTGTGGTGTCCTCAGGGGGCCCTGAAACTGATCCCACGTGGATACTGAGTGACAGCTTAAGTTTTGGGGGAGTCACAAGTCACATGCAGATCTGCACTGCAAGGGGTCGACTGTTGACATTGATGTACAAGTGGACGGAGTTGGAGCGGCCCCGTTCGCTGGTGTTCCAACAGTGTTCGGCAGAACCTTCGTTGTCTGCCCTGGGAGACACCCTCAGTCCCCCTGCTTTTTAGGTTAGGCCGCTTCCTGTGAGTCGCTGGCCAGGTACTGAAATGCCACATTCTGAATATCATCCTTATAATTTCACCAACGAAAATATGCTAAGATTTATCATTTGTAGAACTTACAGCAGCTTGGGGAGCAGAAAGGGGCATCATATCGTCATTGTAGGGCTCAGAATAACATCGATGTGCAACGATCTTGGTCTTAAACTGGACCACAGCTAACCCCAGTGGCCACTGCCCGACACAGAGGCTCTGCCTTCTGTCATATTCTTGGATCTAATGACCATAACTTGCTGACTTTGTTTATTGATCACGTAGAGTATTCATATATTCTACTAGAAGAAAACTTTTGTCTCGGGGTAATATATCTCTTAGGATATAAAAACAACTACTGTTGTGATTTAAATATTGGGAGAGTTTCTACTGTATAAGAATATATGATAATACATTCTGATTATACATAGCTATGTTGTAGTATGCTATTTATAAATGTTTCTTATAAATGAAAATAGCATCTAATTGATTTCTTTACATCATCTCAAATTTTATCTTTAATGGAGGTATTATGATCTTCATAGGTTGTTGTAATAGTATATTTATGTTGTACTTTCAGAATCCTTTTGCATCTATGCATGATATATTATTGGGAAAGACATTTGAAAATCAGAAATCCAGTGGTTTTTTTTTTTTCTTTTTCACTTGTTAGACTAGCTGGATCGTAGAATAAGCAGGCTTATTAAGATTGTAAACCCAGGAAGCTGTCTCAGACCTACAGTATGATATCCAAAGATATGTTAATGACACTTTTATTCTTTCATCTGTAAAGCAGGGGAGTTGGAGAAGGCTTTTCAAAGCACCCTCCCACCCCTCACATGGAATTATTTCACAGTTTTAGTTTTCAACATACCAAAGAAACACGTGTCCACAATTTAATTTTGTATTTATTATCATATACTAAATCAAAAGCTTATCACAACTTCGAGAGCACGTCCACATAGAAACAAGCCCTGGGCAGCGTTGGCTGACACGGGGACAGTAGAGCCCAGGGTGAACGTTCCTCCTCTCGGCCCGCAGGCGGCTTCCTTGACGGTGGACTCTTGTCCTGAGAACCAAGAACCGGGATATTGCACTGTCAGTAATGTGGCGGTTTCAGATGACTGGTAAGTAAAATATTAGTTTGATCATCATCAATGCTTGACGTTAAAAAGGAAATTGTACATTGAAAGTAATTGTATTCTGCTAAGTATTATGTATAAGTTTAAAGTATCTTATTCTCTCCCAAGGGGTTTTTGTACTGTAAAACAAAAAGTTAATAAGTTGTGTACAAAATATGCAATAAAAGGTATGAAACGAAGTGGTAGAGATGAGAATAACGCTCGAGAAAGGAAAGACTAACATAGACTCATGTCAGAGAAGCCTTGTGAAATAATCGCATGAGACCCGGGTCCTGCAAGATCAGAATAAGGACCCTACCCCTTTTAGACACATTCTCTAAATGTTGCATGTGAAAATTATGACAGATATTTTTCAATAGCACCTCAAACTGAGACACAGCATTATCCCTCGTAAAACATAGGTGATTTTAATAGAAATAATAACAAACAAAAATAGTCACGCATAATCCATTGCATTAATTAATTTATTAGTATTCCTTATCTCTGTAATGAAGGAAAAATGTAATCTGACGTTAATATTAGAGTGCTCATTACTTCTGCTGAATTTTATCTTTTTTCTGACAGTGCGCTCCTTCTTGCTAATTCAGCATTGTTTTATAAGTCCCATCTGACGAACTGAAAATATCTTTGGCATAAGTTTTATTATTTTTATACCTTAAAAACCTAATAATCCTCTTTGGTGGACATGCATTAACAGGTAATGTTGTCACTCAAATTCACCATGTTATCACACATGCCAGAAAAAATGATCTTCACTCTTTATTAAACAAAGCATTCTGCCGAAATCTCTCGTGTCGGAACTAATACGCTTTTTTTTTTTTCAATGGAGGACTCTTGATGTTCAGCCAAATCGAGTCACAGTTGGAGGCATCAGATCTCTAGAACCAGTCCTTCGGAGGAGGGGACACGTGGAAAGCCATGATTTCGTCGGGTGCATAATGGAGTTCGCAGTCAATGGAAGGCCTCTGGAACCCAGCCAGGCCTTGGCAGCACAAGGCATCCTAGACATGTATGGCAATTTTATTTCCTACGCTTTCAAAGAAAACGCAAAACATGTATGATAATTGAGCATCAAGAGATGAAATTATTGTGCCCAAAGCCCTAAAAATACCAAATGGTTTACATTGTTTTGAATTTTGAATATTTATTTATAGCTGTGAAATTTTGGCCTAAAATGTAATGTTCGATTAGAAAGTTAATTCTTATTTTCCAGAGTTTTAAGACAATATATGTATATGTGTATGTACTCTACCTTGCAGAGTGCTGTAAAGATGATAAGAGTTAAATAGGTAATCACGTAGGAAGAAACCTATCCCAGTATGATACATAAGTGTTAGCGATAATATATACTTGAAATTAAATAGTTTTCATATAAATATATACATTTCCCAAATCTTGATACATCTTTAACAAGTAATAATTTGATTAATTGTAAGCTATAAAGTAGTTTTTTTGTTTTGTTTTTTTTTCCTATTTAGTTATTGGTTAGGTTTCCAGCAATGATTTAGGAATTGTGAAAATAACATTTTATTTAAAAAGTTATTCTAATTTGTATTGAAAATTTGGAAAATTCAGAAAAATATCAAGTAGCCTATAAACTAACTACCCATAGACACTCTTAGGTCATTGTGACATCCATGACTGCCTAGTATTCCATAATACAGATGTGCTGTTTTAACTATGCTCGTATACTTTAGTACTTCCGGTATCACTAATATATCATTAACCCTGTGATTAATAAACAGTCACAAAAATATCTGCTCACATTATTTTCTTGCTTGAGATTTCTGGAAAGAAAATTACAAAGGCAAAAAGCTGTGAATACTTCCTAATGTTTGTGACTTAAGTATTTTAATGCAACTTGGCATTTACCCTTATTTTATTGGTTTATTATAATATAGTACTATCACGTTATAATTAACCACAGAGCACAGAAAAACACAGAGCTCATTGCTGACCATTGTAAATGCCTGGACGTGCATCATTCTGTATCTTTTTTCAATGTTCACACAAATATTTTTGAAATAGTGACATTTTTACTTTTAAATATGTTATGAATATCTTTTTAGATCAAAACATAGAGATCTAAGTCATATGTATTGTCGAATTACTTTTCAGAAAGATTATAATGGTAGTACATATACATAATTTGCTTATTCTTTTTTTTTTTTTTTTTTTTTTAGGCGAGGCAACCCTTGGTTGACCTCACAGATTGTAAGGACCTTGTCAGCTCACCAGCCCTTACTTTTTTTATTTTGTACACCTACAGCACCTGGTCTTCCTAGGTGGTCTCCCATCCAAGTACTACTTGTTTAGGGTGGCATGGCCATGGAGACTATTCTATATACACCATCTTATAAGGAATAGTCTTACATTAATTTCTCTTATATTATGCTTCACGTGAAGCATATATTTCACAAGTTCTTAGAAAATTTGTAAATTGAGATAGAATTCTCTTGAAGTGAGAATTTTTATCTAATTTTTTCATCACTTTTTGTCATAAAAGATTCTAAATTCAAGACTGGAGCTTCACCGGAAACATTTCACCTTATTATAATTAATAAGTTTGGGTTTATTCCTAACCGTGTCTTATTTTTTTGATATGACGGAGGTCATGGTCTTTAAATATTCTGGCATAATGTATAAGATTTAAAGACCAACTATTTCAAGGCTCCCGAATTTGAAGTTTTCTTTTCTTTTTCTTTTTTTTCTTTAATTTCAGATTTATCCAGTGTCTACAGGGACTAACATTTATTGATACCTTACTATGGACCAGACACTGTTCGTAGTATTTTACTGTATTAGTCTGTTTAAACTTTATAGCCATTTCACGAGATAGATACTATTATTTTCATTTTATAGATGAGGTAACTGAGTTACTCAGAGTTTAAGAAACTTGCCCAAAGTCAGCCAGCTAGTGAGTAGCAAAGCTGAATCGTGAGCGTTGGTCAGTTGGCCCGGTGCTAGATGCAAATACATGGACAAGGCAGATCCTTGCTCTTGAGGAATTCGCAGTCTCTTTAAATTGATGATCCCTAACCTCCAGTGCAGCCATGATATTGCCAGGCAATATATTACATTCCCCTGGTTTAATCATGTCCCCACTCCTCAGTGACTAGCTCAGGTCGCCTCTTCCCACAGCCTGCGAACATCACCTCCTGTATCCTTTCTCGGCTAATGAATTTGCTTCCTAACTTGCTCTGAAAATGGAAGCCATCAAGAGACGGCTCCTCAGAGCTCATCCCTCCTCATCTGCTCACGCACCCCGCTCTAAACCTGTGCCCCTCATCTGCTCACGCACCCCGCTCTAAAACTGTGCCCCTCGTAATGAGCGAGCTCGCCCTCCTCCCACAAAGGCCGAGCCCTTTTCAGGCCATCGAGCCCATCCCCAAACCTCCCAGAAACGGCGCTCCAGCCTTCTCGTGGTTCTTGTCTCATTCCAATCCATGCTGTTATTCCCCCGCTTTTACTGAAAATAAATAAATATATGTATATACCTCTCCCATTTTCCTCTTAGCTACCAAGTTAATTCTCTTTTTTCTTTGAAAAGTTGTTCTTTGTCAAAGCGACCAACCACCTCTGTTTTGAAGAAATCAGTGGTTAGCGTTCATCTTACTCAAACTTCAGCATTGCCAGGAACAGTTCATCACTCCCTCCCCCAAAATCACTTTGTCCACCAGCACGCGGGTCCCTCCTGGCTCTCTCCTCCGATTCTGCCTCTCACCTCCTCGGCCTCCCTCCTCTGTATCTATATTCATTCTTTAAGTCACTTTTATAGTCCTTGGTTTTAACTATCTCTAAAGCTGGTGACTCTTAAATGGTTGTCAGCTTGGCATCTCTCCTCTGAACGTTAGACCCTCGGTCCACCGGCCTACTCACGGTCCCGTGTGTACTCCTGACAAATACCGCAAACCCGAGTCTAAAACCGAACCCCTGGCCCCCCTTCCACGATGGCCCTCCCTCAGGCAGTGGTGATTCAGTGACCCACCTGCTCAGCTAAACATTTAGACTAACCAATTTGCAGAAACTAAACGGGCTAATAAGCATTTATATTTAACAAATTCCCCCCACACCTTTTTTTGTGCTTTATGAGTCTTTGCTGTGATTTTATTTTAGGTGCCCTAGACTAGAAGGCGCTTGCACCCGCAGCCCCTGCCAGCACGGTGGCACGTGTACAGACCACTGGTCATGGCAGCAGTGTCACTGCAAAGAAGGACTGACTGGGAAATACTGCGAAAAATGTATGCAAGCCGTTTCATCTTCCACTGGAAGCTATATTAACCGTGAAAAGTATAAATATATGCACCTAAATATGTAATTGAATTATGTTTTCACTGAAAATATCAAATAGACAATAATTGGAAAATATAGTGACATTTTTAAATTCATTTTTTAACCTGGGGAAGAGTGACACCCTGTTAGAATTATTTACTAAATAAATCATTGATTTCCACTATATAAATATATCATTTATTTTTGGTTTACCTATAGGCATACTAGGCAGTTTACAAGGCCAGGGGCTATATTCAGGCTTTGGCTTAATATTATCTACATTTAGAGGTTCCTTCTCTGGTGAATATTTTGTATTTGTTAGAGAAGTATAAATAATAAATTACTGAGTATGGAGCTCAAAACATTATACAATTGAATTATAATCTTTTACATTTAAGATGGTACTTGAATCTTAATTTGCAATTAACAGAATTGGTTTTGGATGTTACTTTTTAAATTCTTTTATTGGTTACTTGTTTATAAACCCTGATGTTGTTGTTAATAAGGCACTAATGGTGTCTGAGCCTTCATTAGAGCATGGTGTTCTCTAATTTCAAGCTGTATATTCAACTACCTAACCCTAATGGGGTCTCTGTGATAAAAATTGCTTCACTTTCAAATAAGCGGTTACTCCTTAAATCACTGCACTTAACTGACTACTTTCGAAAGAGGCATTTGATTCTATTATAACATGAGAATGAATAAACTCATGATTAAATTAAGGATACACTTTACCAAGAAAGACGTTAGGAGCAGAGGTAGAATTGTGTTTAGGATAAAATCAAAACGGGAAAAGCACCTTGTCGTATGATTTTTTTTTTTAAAGTAACAGTTACACCTGGAATATGAAATGACTCATTGGCTTGAGAAATGTCTTTAAAGAAAACAGGTACGATTCACATACAATAAAATTTTCCTTTTCAAAGTGTGCCATCTGGTGCTGACGCTCTCTTGAGCTCATTTCTTTGTGTCTCTTCTTTAGGTAGTTTGCTACAGCAAACTTCCGTACTTCAGTAGTGTGGACATTTTATCGCGTTATGATCAATTGTAATCATATGTGATGATGAATTAAATTGTACATGATTATTACTAATCATAAAGTTAGTTACAAATATTAGATTGTTCACTTTTTCAAATTTCTAATGCGCTAGACTTTAAAGATTAGAAATAATTTTAACTATGAAAGCATTCATTTATGAATTTTGGAAACAGTGAAAATCATAAACAAATACTGCTTCCAGACATTTTAAAGGTGGCTGTCTTTTCAGGTATTCATATTTTATATCAAGTACCAGATATTTAATGACTGTTTCCCAAATGATTAATGCCCGTTTTTAAATGTTTTAGAGTTTACGGTTCTGATATGGATTTAAGTATTTGAAATCAACTCATACAGTAATTCACAAGTGGAAATTTGTTTTTCAAGAGGAGGATTGGGGGACATTATTTGCAAAACCTCAGTAGTTTTAAGGTCTCTTTTTATACTGTTTGTCACCTGTGGACACTTTAAGGAATAACGGATGCGTTTCCCTCCCCCCTCCCGGGTCGGCTTGCAGCCATCACCCCTGACACTGCCTTGTCGCTGGAAGGCCAAGGGCGCCTGGACTACCACATGAGCCAGAATGAGAAGCGGGAGTATTTGCTAAGGCAGAGCATACGAGGGGCCACGTCGGAGCCTTTTGGCGTGAACAGTCTGGAAGTAAAATTCAGGACGAGAAGCGAGAACGGCGTTTTAATCCATATCCAAGAAAGCAGCAATTACACTACTGTGAAGGTGAGCTATCCAAGTGCGCGGTGACGTCATTCGGCCAGACCGCCTGCTGCGTCACGGTCCGAATCGCTCCTCCCCCAGCTTCTCCCCGTGTGTTTTACAATCCATTTGAGTTCCGACTAATGCTGGGCACGATTCCAATATCATCTCATCCTAACTATTTCCCGGGCATTGGCCAGACGAACAAGGTCTGAATGGTTTGGTTTCTAAACACTTTTTTTTCTTGGTTTAGACCACAGCTAGGTAGGCCAGCATAGAAAGAATTTGTCGTGATCCATTTTGTCTGATAAAAACTTATATTGCTCGTCCCCCTACTTTTAAACAAAGTAAAACAAAAATATAATGTGTCTTCGAAATGGAAAAAACATTTTCTCCAAGAATTATTTCAAACACCGCGTATATATTAACTGGCAGGACTAAAATAAGGAAAAACATTTTGAAATTATCTGGCTTTATTTAGTTTGGAGCACAATGGTCTTAACTATCACAGGTAAACACTGTGAAATTAAGTATCTTTGGAATTATTGTAGGTAAAATTACAGCTAAATTCTCCAAATAATTTCTAAATACATAATTTTTAAACATCATAGCTCATGAGAACAATGGATTGGTTTATCATTAGGCTTTACATAATTTTTTTTCTTGACCGTACACGAGATGCTAAACTAGTGAATAATTTCATTAGATCCACATTTTTCATTAGTTCTTAATAGCTTTTTAATTTCTAAGACTATTATTTGGCTTTCTTTCCAACAAATAAGACCTCAGCTCTTAGATCATCATTTTCTTTCTTTATACTGACTGCTTTCAATATTATTTTGTATATTATAATTCAACTCATCATTTTATACAAATTTCGGTAAATTCTTAAGAAAACAAATCTAGATTTCCTTATTTTTTTTGCCTATAAGTCAATACTTTCACAATTACTAACACTTTAGTTAATAAAGAAAAATGTAATATACATAGAAAATTGCTAGATTTAATTCGCTTCTAATACTAAAAATAAAAACAGATGTTCACCTCTAAACTTCAGCCTGCTTATTCTCAAAATTTCTCTCTATCTAAGCCAACTCTGGTTGTATTTCATGTCCTTATCTTTAATAAGTAGTAAAAAAAAATCTTTTTAAAATTCTCATATTATAACCTCCAACTGGGGGTGACTTTACCCTGCCAGGACATTTGGCAATGTCTGGAGACATTGTTTTATTGTCAGGGCTCGGTGTGGAGGGAGGGACCACCGGTCCCTACAGGTCTGTCGCTAACCACCCTGCGGTGCACAGCAGAAGCACCCGCGGAAAGGGAGTTACAGTCCACAATGCGAGTAGTGCTCAGCTTGGGAAACGCTGCCTGAGCCCAGTGCTGGAGAGCATCGTCGGCTTATGACTGTAGCTCCACTGTGGAAGCAGAGGGCCCCGTTCCAGAGTTAGTAAAGCAGCTGCAAAGACAGCACATAAACCGTCGTATACTGTTATTAGTCGGTGTTTATAATTCTCATCAAAAAGTGTCTTAGAAGCCAAGAAAATAAAGGCATAAAGAGAGAAGTAGACCTTCATTGTCTACAAGGAACATATTTTATACGCATTGAGAGGCTCTGACAGTGAGGTCTGTGCAGTGTCTGTTAGGCTGCTTCCAAGTCCTCGTGCCATTTAAATGACATATGAAATATTTCTGGACAGTATTTCTGTAAGCCAAGAGATACAAAATGCAATGTGGTTGAAGAAATCAGAGACAGAATTTTTCCTTCCTTAAGGAAGAAGATGAATGTCAGGATCCATTTTTGTCGCCGTAAGTTCCTGCATTTCCAACAGCGTGGCAGCATTCAACTTCTGATTTTGTTAACGTTGGTAGCAAACACTTAGAAAAGTAAATGCTAATGAATAAAAGTAATGACTAATGCAGACCAACATGCACATTTCTTTCTTTTGTATGAAATTTCGAAAAGTAGCTTTTCAGAGATCAAGGGGCTTGGCAGGTAAAGTAAGTAGATTAAAAAAAAAAAAAAAGACCAAACGCAGTGAATAAGGCGAACTAAACGGACAGTAAAGGAAGAGAGTGGCCGTTGTGAGCAGGCAAGTTACTTGGATGACAGGAACGCGGTCCGCTTCTGCGGGCTGGGAAGCTGGCTCAAACACGCTGTCCCTTACCAGCCGGCTCATCAGTGACCAGGGGTCCTGCTTTCCCTCTTTCTTCCTTTTGGCTCACTTTCTGACAGTTTCTTTTTTTTCTTTCTTTTTTTTTTTTTAACATACTCTGAATCAGTCAACTTTTTCTCCCCCGCCCCTCCTCGCGCGCACACACACACACACACACACACACATTGTGAAAATGAAAGGGTGAGTAGACGGGGTTCTATATGGTTCTAGGAGAGAGGGTCAGCAGTGGGCAGCGACAGCAGTGTGAGGAGAGATGAGCATGTCCAGAATGGAGAGGGTCTGTTCAGATAAGAAATCAAGGAGAGGAATTTCAGACAGGAAAGCAAGAGGGATGCGCGCTCGCGTGCTCGTGGGCCGACGCCACAGGTAAAGCCTTCCGCACGTCTCTTCTTTTGTGGCATATTGTGATCTGAACTATGAAGATGACAAGTTCTGTATAATAGACGATGGACTCGCTGCTCCCAATCAATTCTATTGTTTTGGGTGCTGAGTTTTCCGGTTGGTTGGTTGGTTTTGTTTTTAAGTGAGGCTGGGTATGTTGTACAGGGTTGGGATGAGGGCTTCAGATCGCTATAGAATGAAAAAAATAAATAAATGAACAAATAAATAAAGCAAACCAAAACACGAGCATGGGGTTTTGAAAGTGAGGAAGAATACGGGCGTCCAGTAGAGCATCGCTGAGGAAAAGGAGAACGTTTAAAGTGTTACCGTGGGAACTTACGTTCTCATCAGTCCTGTCTATGGTGTATTCTACAAGCTCTCTCATCAGCATTGTGCGGATGAAAGGGTGACGGGCTGTGACCAGGTAGGAGGGGAACGCAGAGCTGGGAGAAGTCCCTCCCTAAGGCTTCTTTCCCAGAAGAACCTGCCTATAACCAAAGAAGAGTTGCTGTTTTCACTGTGCCATGAGATGTTGCCCATTCGACGAAATGTTGTTGTCATTTAACTACAGCTTTCTTCCCCCCGCCCTCTGAGTTTGATACTGAAATATATTATTATCCAGAGACATCGCTTTAATAAAATATCACAATATGAAGAACATATGTAAATGTGTTAGGCATATTTTCCACAGTAAAAAAGATCTGATCTTTAGTTTTACCAGATGTGTTTGTTGCATATAGAAATAGCATTTGATCTGAGGAAGGAAAAAAAAGGGACCCATCCCTTCGCCCCCCTGCCGTGGCACCAGCTCTGTCTGGTAGTTGGACGGGATTACCCTCCCTGACCCAAATGTTCATCCTGCCTCATAAATTATTTTATATTCTAAGGCATCTCCTCAGAATACGGGAAGCTGGGTAGCTGGAGACTGGAGTAGGAGTTCATCCCACTGGGCGAGGTAACAGACACCAAGTGCCCCTTCGATGACCCGGGGCAGTGAGCCGAAGTGAGGACTTGGCCAGACACCTCGTTATTAACAACTCTCCCTTTATTCATCAGAGTTTTTACCTCAATAAATGACATGAATGATAGGCAAGATTTTTTCTAAAATTCTAGTGTGTAGTAAGTGACAAATAAAACAATTTACTTTTGTCTTTATTTTTCCAACTTTGCTTCATTTTTAGCTAAGCATTGTTTTTTTTTTTTTAAGCTGGCAGTTTTAACATTTTTGATCACTGTGGGCCATTAATTAAACTGACTAAACTTTTTAGACTTGCCATTGCCATTAAATAATAGGAAATCACAAAAAACTTGTACTTATCTTAAAATGGGTATTCATTCCATTATTATCTTAGTTGTGTTCTAGAAAATAATTCTCTGCATCTTGAAAAATTAGGTGTAACACCTTGGGAATTACTGAAACTATTATGTTTGAAATAATCCCTAAAATCATAGAGGCAGATGGATAAATATATTCTCTTTAGCTATTCTGCGTACTTTAAATTGATCAATATGTTAAGGTTTTATTTAATTTTTAAAAATCTTTTATTCCAGCATGGTGTGGTTTAATTCCTCATTATTTCACTATGTTTGTAGATTAAGAATGGCAAAGTCCATTTTACATCAGATGCAGGAATTGCTGGGAAGGTGGAAAGAAACATTCCTGAAGTGTATGTTGCAGATGGCCACTGGCATGCTGTTCTAATCGGAAAAAATGGAACAGCCACAGTACTGTCCATCGACAGAATCTATAACAGAGACATCGTCCACCCTACTCAAGATTTTGGTGGCCTCGAGGTGCTCACTATATCCCTTGGAGGAATTCCGCCCAACCAAGCGCATCGAGATGCTCAAACAGGTAAGTGCTTGTGTTCGGCAGTCGCCAAGGGAAGGTAAAAGTGGTCATCTAAAGGTAGCTGGGTCTCTGATGATCTCTCTCATGGCCGTTGGAAGACCAGCATCGCCCTCCTTAGAAAGCTCGGGAGGAATTACCGGCCATCGCTTCCTTTCACCTCCTGCATTTGTTCTGCCAGCTGCGTTAATTCGGATCATGGCGGTTCGATGCTTTCCTTGTCCACCAAGCATCAGCGTGTGCATTGATTCACCTACTCGTTTGTGCTTTCACACAGCAGGTGTGACCGAGCCCCGTCCTGGGCACTGGGAGCGCAACAGCCGGCTGAGTAGCCCCTCTCCTCATAGAACGTACAGCCCATAAGGGAGACAAACGTTAATCACATCAGTAGCCAAGTAAATCTATTATTTTGCGCTATGATTAATGATGTGAAGGAAGAATATAGAATTCTAGGAGACCGCTCAGAAAAGGAGAAAGAGAAACTTTCCAGGAAAAATGGACATCTGTTGTTAAATCTGAACTATGAAGATAAGAGATAAGGATGAGAGAAGATGAAAAATTAATTTATATTGATAGGAACTAAAAAAACCCAAAAAGGTGGATTATGTCAGGATCGCAGAACCCAGCACATGGGAAGCTGATGTCGCAGGTGAAGGACGGAGTTGGGGAATGAAGCAGGGCCGTCCACACCGGCTGTAGGTTTGGTCCTATTCTCAGAACAATGGGAAGTTCCCAAAAAAACAAAACGAATTAGTCACAGGAGTGTCCAGATGAGACACACTGTAATAGCGAAGCTCCTACAGGCTCCAGCACGGAGAACGCCTTGCAGGAGGACGGGAGTGGACGTGCGTGAATTAGCTGGGAAGACCCTGCAGTGACCCTGTGTGAGTTTTGGCTAGTGCGGTGGCAGAGGAGATGTAAAGAACTTTATAGGGAAGAAGTATTTTAAAAATTAAACTCAACCAAACTGTTGGCGATTTTGGTAAAATTCAGGGAGGTTTCTGACTTTTCAGCTAGGACGAGGGTAGCGCCACCGAGAAAGGAAACTGCAGAACAGTGCAAAAAGCAGCATCCTTTGGGAGACAGCGCGATTTGGGTTTGCGACATTTTAGGGTGTGGGACACCTTGGAGTAAGACCTTTGCGCAGATGGGGCAGAATCGGGAGTGGACTTCAGCTGGAAACATGCTCGGAGGCATCGCTGCTCAGAGGGATCACTGCCCGACAGGGAACCGAAGCCCCGAGCATGGATCCGACACCCTAACCCCAGGGTGTAGCCTGGGAAAAGCCTAGGGCCCCATCTTGGGTAGCTGAGTTAGTGCTGGCTTAGAGGAGAATGAGAAAGGAAGGAGCCTGCGTCACACAGACAAAGCCAGGAGGTGTCACAGCTCATGAGGAAATGTGGATCGGGGACGGGGAGGTCACTAGAATGGAACAACGCGGCAGTAAAACTGAAAAATGCGTGGGAGGGTGATGGAGTTAGGGCACAGGGCGCAGAAGTTAAAGTCCAGGTCAAGTCCGTGCGTATTTAGCTTACTTTAGAATGGGGACGACAGTTCTTTGGGAGTTTCGGAAAGCAAGCCCGCGTAAATCATGCTTTGTGGTTAGTGTCACGGTCCATTCTTGGGCTCTGGGACCCGAGCATTAGCGACGCTGGCACATCACGTCTCATAAAGTGTTTCTCAGCTTTAAAATCATCATCATCACCCTGTAAGGAAGGAGCCATTTTAGATCTTTTTCCCTGAGCCCTGCCGTGCCCACCTCATGCAATGTCACTGCCACAGTTATACTGTGAGACCTGCAAACCGCTGTAAGAGCCAAGGTTTTCTTTTGCTCCCTAAAAATCGACTTTCGAGTCCCTGGGGGTAAGTCCAGTGAGAAGGCATGGTCCAAGGCATGGTTTAGTGACTGAAGCTATGGGCCTATTTTATTTTTTTCCTCTGTATTTTTTAAAATTTATTTCTACATGCAATTCTTGCAATATCGACTAAACAGACGGAAACAAAGGGGAAGTTGAGTAAGACGCCTCTCTGCCTCTCTGCCCCTCTGCCCCGCAGGTTTCGACGGCTGCATCGCGTCCGTGCTGTACGGCGGGCAGAGCCTGCCCTTCAGCGGGAGGCACAGCCTGGCCTCCATCTCCAAGACCGACCCGTCGGTGAAGACCGGATGCCGCGGCCCCAACATCTGCGCCAGCAACCCGTGCTGGGGCGACCTGCTGTGTGTCAACCAGTGGCACGCGTACAAGTGCGTGCCGCCGGGGGACTGCGCGTCGCGCCCCTGCCAGAACGGGGGCAGCTGCGAGCCCGGCCTGCACTCCGGCTTCGCGTGCAGCTGCCCGGAGTCGCACACGGGCCGGACCTGCGAGACGGTGGTGGCCTGTCTCGGCGTCCTCTGCCCCCAGGGGAGGGTGTGCAAAGCTGGCAGCCCCGGCGGGCACGTGTGCGTCCCGAGCCAGGGCCCCGAGGAGCTGTCGCTGCCGCTGTGGGCCGTGCCCGCCATCGTGGGCAGCTGCGCCACCGTCCTGGCGCTGCTGGTCCTGAGCCTGATCCTCTGTAACCAGTGCCGGGGCAAGAAGGCCGCGGGCCCCAAGGAGGCCAAGAAGCCGAAGGAGAAGAAGAAGAAGGGCAGCGAGAACGTCGCCTTCGACGACCCGGACCACCTGCCGCCGTTCGCCGACGACCTGACGGTGAGGAAGCAGCCGGAGGGCAACCCGAAGCCGGACATCATCGAGCGGGAGAACCCGTACCTGATCTACGACGAGGCCGACCTGCCGCGCGGCCCCGAGGCCGTGCCCAGCGCGCCGCTGGCGGCCCCGGAGCAGGAGCCGGAGCACTACGACATCGACAACGCCAGCAGCATCGCGCCGTCGGACGCCGACATCATCCAGCACTACAAGCAGTTCCGCAGCCACACGCCCAA